CAAATGTTTTTTTAGCTTCATTGGAATATCTATGAATATACTGTCCCATCATATCTATAGATTGTTCTGAATTGTACTTTACAAAGATCAAAGTTTCAGCATATTTTTATAAAAAAATTTTACACAACTAAGTTTGCCAAATAGTTTGGTGGAAGTGAGAGCCAGTTTTAACTTGTTACTTATTGAGCCCAATCGTTTCAAAAATCAGGTAAGAAAAGACATTAACCAAGACAGATAAGGATGGTGATTTGTTTACCAATATTTGTATCCATTTTATAAATTTCTGTCATATCTTGTTTTACTTTGTTCTCAGGCTTATAATAATCAGAATTAGGCATATCAAATGAAAGATTGTTTATTACGCATTACACATCACACATCACACACAGTTGTGTGTGTGATATGTAATGTGTAATAAACAATATTTTGTTTTTACAGTTAACAAATCAATAGTATTTCAAACCTATTTTGTTTTTACAGTTAACAAATCAATAGTGAAACAAAAAACAATAAAACTCTAATTGATTGTCAGAAAGTTATTGTTAATTCATTACACTCAAGATAAGATGGAGAATTATTGTCTCAGACTTTACTGATAGAAAAAGAAAAAAATACTGGGTGTAAAATACTGGGTAAAATACTGGGTGTAAATAAGGGTGAAAGTAAATACTGTAAATAATGGGTATGTATTGTTATGTATGTTATGTATGTACTGTTATGTATGTTATGTATGTATGTTATGTATGTATGTTATGTTGTTATATATGCATGTTATGTATGTACTGGGTATTTATTGTTATGTATGTATTGTTATGTATGTGTTGTTATGTATGTATTGTTATGTATTGTTATGTATGGGTATGTAAAGTACTGGGTAAATACTTTAAATACTGTTAATACTGGGACCAGTAAATACTGGGTGTAAATAAGGATGTAAATACTGGGTGTAAAATACTGGGTAAAAATACTATTTACTGATAGTAAAAGTATTTTCCTGATAGGAAAATGATAGTACTAGTTTACTGATAGTAAAAGAAAAAAATACTGGGTGGATGATAATTGCAAATTCCAGAGTATACTGATATCATATTTTTTAATCAACTAATGATATATCATCTTGTTTCCAATTACTTTTTGACAACCAAATATGGTTTTTAATCTTTTTTTTTAAAAATAATTAAAAAAATGCATACCATAAAAGTCTAGCACTCGTCTTCATTTTATTTTACATGCAGAACATCAGATTTGTTTAACAAACTCCATCCCTAATGCTCTGTTGGATTAATAAAAGTTATGGGAAACAAGTCTGTTATTTAATGTCTATTTTTTTCAAAGCAAATAAAGGCAGCTCTGATAATTTATTTAAGTTTGAAAAGGTAGTGTAAATTAAATTGATTTGTTGATAATTACATTTAGTGTTTTGATTTAAATATATAGGCTGTTATTGATTTTTTGGCCAATTCAAAGCTTTGATTTTTCATTTTTAGGCTTTTAAAAATTAAAAATTAAAAATTGTTTTAATTCTTCAATAATATTTAATAAGAATCATTTAACAATATATATATAAGAATAATAGTTTTAAAAAAAAGATGTGAAGTATTTAGCATGATTATGCCATAATATACAATTGTTGTATGTTCTTAGACAAAATAATTGAAGTAGAATTTCCTTTTTTACAGATTGACATGGTATTGAAGGTACTTGATTGTCAGATTTATCTGTCCGCTGTTTTTTAAAAAGGCGTTTTGAGCAAATCCGTCATTTTTAAAAAACACTAATTCAATTCTAATTCTAATAATAATATATTACTAGATGACCAAACCCATAAGTTGTAATTCTAATAATAATATATTACTAGATGATTAAACTCATAAGTTGTAATTCTAATAATAATATATTACTAGATGACTAAACCCATAAGTTGTAATTCTAATAATAATAATATATTACTAGATGACTAAACCCATAAGTTATAATTCTAGTAATAATATATTACTAGATGACCAAACACATAAGTTATAATTCTAATAATAATATATTACTAGATGACTAAACCCATAAGTTATAATTCTAGTAATAATATATTACTAGATGACCAAACCCATAAAAATATGGGTCTTTGTAAATCTATTCCACATCAACCTTTTCTATACTTTTTCCTTATATATATATCCCAGCTGTCCGGACCCGTAAAATAAGTCTTCACCAAACCAACCATTTCTGTACTTATCTATTCCACACCAATTGTTTCTATACTTATTCCTTATTTACTTAAATATTATTTAGTAGTAGTAGAAAAATAATTCATTTAAAAAAATTGCTTAAAGAGCAAAAAAAATTAACATGTGCACCTTTTTCGCATACATAGAGCTTATAAAAGATTTATAAAATGGTTTGTTTTTTCACATATATAACTTCAATAGCAGTGGTTTAATGTGCTGTCATTGGTGTCGTTTTGGGAGGGTTCAAATCAACCCCCCCCACCCTCCTTTTACACAATACATTTTCAATATTTTCAATCTGGTCGTGTATATTTAGCAAAAATAAATTAAAAAAAGACTTAATTGTTAAAATAAAGTTTTCATTTTCTCCCACAGCAGCACCTTCTAAAGTAACTGGACATGCTTATTAATTTTTTTCTTTAATAAGTTTCAGACCATAATTTTTTTTCAGACCATCCACAGCTTAATTATAGGACTAAATAACATAAGTATTTCTATCATGGCATATGTGCAACAAATTTCTCCCGATGTTTTGATGTTTTTAGAAATTTTAAGCATTTTTAAAAGAGAGAACTTTTGTTTTGTTATATTATATAGTATCTTTATATATGTTATGTATATAATATCAATAGATATATATCTTCAAAAATGTTTTATTTTGTATTTTAAAAAATTTTAAAAGATTATTATAAAAATGTGCAAAGAAGGAACACTGCAAGGTAACCAATTAGGTCATAAAGGTGTATTGCACAAGAACACTATTTAATAAACAAAAAATTTTATAAAACTTTTATAAAAGTTTTAACACTATTTAATAAACAAAAAATTTTATAAAACTTTCTTTAAATTATTTTGTTTAAGATGATAAAGTATTATACTTACAATTACACCTATAATTATTATAGTCAACACTAGTACCAAATTAAGTTAATCTTCAAATTTTATTATTTTGAATGAATTTTTTGGTAAATTGCATAAAGATTTTATCTTGACTCCCTCCTCCTCCATGAGGGTTTTGACTCCCTCCTCCTCCATGAGGGTTTTGACTCTCTCCTCCACCATGAGGGTTTTGACTACTATTTAAAATACTGAATTATTGTTATGATCTTTAGTTTGAAAGGACCTTACTACCTTACTTAAAAGGACCTACTACTACCTTACTTAAATACCTAATCTAATATATATGATGCATTAAAACAAATTCATTTTATTTATAACGCCTCTCTTTAAAAGCAAGACATGTCACGCGCATTTAAGTTTTTTATTAACTGAATTACTTAACTATTTATTAACCGCTGTGTTTTTTATTAAATTAATATTTATTATTATTAATATATTAGCAACAATTAGTTAATTAATAAAGACTATTAAAAAAAAAAAAAGTTTGAAAAAGGACTCCAAAGGATTTGATTAACCACTGCACTGCACAATATTGTAACTCAATAAGTTAATTAAGTTTAATTTTAATTATTTGTTTTCAGTCATTTAGATTTGTAATTTTAATTCTTTTTCACTTCTAAACACATTAGGTATGCATAAAGTATATAAAAATATATAAAAATTTATTTGCCTTCACCAGCTTCACTTCACTTCTCAAAATAAATATCATTTACAATTGTAAAAGATTGCTAAAAACAGATGCCACAAGTGCCTATGAATTTTCTAATATAATATGGAAGTCAATACTTAAATACCTAATATAATATAGAAGTATATAGTAATATAATATAATATAGTCAATATTTCAATACTTCAAATCAATACCGCATATATATATGCGGTAGTGGTGTAGTGGTAGAGCGCTCGCTTCATAAATGAGTGGTTCCGAGTTCGATCCCCACCACGTCCCTGGTAGTACCGCGCTCAACTTGTTTCTCTGCGCAGCGACCTTGTTCGTCAAGGTTCGTGTTTCGGAGTTATAGAGTTGAGAGAGGGTTACAGCCACAAAATAAGTAGCCTCCTCGTCTGTAGTGGCCTTCTCGGCCTTGAGGAAGTGAAGTATAATAAAAAAAACAAAAAAAAAAAAACTTAAAATAAAGTTATTATGATTAAATAAACATCTTTTTTTCAGCACTGCACTTAACAAGTCTATTGTCTTTTTTTCAGTCAGCACTGCACTTAACAAGTCTATTCTCTTTTTTTCAGTCAGCACTGCACTTAACAAGTCTATTCTCTTTTTTTCAGTCAGCACTGCACTTAACAAGTCTATTCTCTTTTTTTCAGTCAGCACTGTACTTAACAAGTCTATTCTCTTTTTTTTTCTTAAGTTTAACTCAAAATTTATACTATGTTTGTACTCATTTTTCAAGAGTCATAGCACTTCTATATTTATATATGACTTTTATGATTTATATTTAGAGCTATATTTTTTTATGATTTAGTTGAACCTGATTTAAAATATTCAATAAAAGGTTTTTAAATCAATTTTTTAATGTTTTTAAATAAAAATTTTATTATACAATTTTTTAAATACTATTTTTTTGCGCTTTTCAAAATAATTTTAAAATTTTTATAACATTTTTTTTTTAATTTTTAAAAAGAATATACTAATGTATTGTTTAAAAAATGTTGTTATTATACTAATTTTATTATATGAAAAATCAATATTATAATATAATATTGATTTTAAAAAAAACATATATTATAATATTGATTTTTTTAATTGTTATTATTCTATTGTTTTGAGTATTTTTTTTTAATAGATATATTTTTGTTTTGGGTATAATATTATATTCTTGCTTTGAGTATACTGATCTAGTTTTATGCTTTTTGATATAGTATTGACTGTTCTGTTGATTTACCAAAAAGTCCATCTACTAAAACTGAAAAGTTTGGATTTAATAAAAAAGCTGCTCTTCCAGAAACACTCAGTATTAGAGAAGCAGGTTGAATAAATTATAAGATAAACTTATATTCTTTTTAAAAGTATGTTAAGAAAATTGTTTATTTTCAACTAAATACATCTTGCAAAAGAAAATACATTGTAAGATATATTTATTAAGAATACATCTTGCAAAAGAAAATACATTGCAAGATATATTTATTCTTATTTAGATGATCTAGAAAGTATTGCAACATCTACGCAATATGAAACAACTGTTTCAGATGCAGCCTCAGGTATGTACTCGGTGGTTGCTGGGTTCGAATCTTCAGGAGCTGCTGCTTTGCTATGCAAGTTGTGGCTTATTACAGGTGATCTAGTTATAATTTAATTCAGATACTGAATTTCAAACTTCTAGAGTTTTAAATAGAATTGCCGCCCTAAAATTCAAGCTACAAATTCCTAAAGTTATCTATGATGATTTGGACATTTTTATAATAAATGTTTTGCATTCAAACAAATTTATTTTTGAATGATATTATTCTTGGAATGAAACAGGTTCTTATTGTTTACTATGCCCCTTACATGTTATCAATTACAATTACTAAATAATTATTATAAAAGTTAATGAAAAGATTGTTTTTGATCTTTGAAGTTCTCAGAACCTGTGAATAACTTTAATGCCTTTAGTTTATGATTAATATAATTTCAATTATTAAGCGTACAAATGTATTACAAGTCAGAGTTAGGATCATCCTGCTACTGTTGAAATGTAATCCAATACAATTTGTCTCTTCCTCTACAGTCTTGTAAGATCTGCTTTTCTAAAAATTTTCCTTAAAGTCAAATGCTAAGAGAAGTTAATTCATACCTAATATACCCAAACCTTGGGACTCAGACTTTCAGGGTAAGCACAAAATTTCTGTTGACCATCCTCAAACCCATCTTTATCTAATAGGCTGGCATAAATGTAAACATGTATTACATTGTTTCTTGCTGATAATTGCTTGATCTTATTGACTATATTAATGTCCCCTTGGTAGTGATTCTGCAATTTTTTGTTATCTCTTAATGATGGTACAGTTCTAAAACTCAGTTTAATGGTTCTTAGGCCAGCATGTAGTATGGTACTATTTTCAGGCAAGTCAAGTTGTAATTTTTTTTCTTTTTTTACGGGTCCTATGTATTAATTTTTTTTTGTATGCTTTTGTAGTTTTTTCATTTTTTGTTGAATTTTTTAAAATTAAAAATACAATAATTAAATTATTGAATTAAAGACCTGAAAACAAGTAAATTTTTAAAAATGACAACTTGTGCAGTTTTGTGCATCTTGTTAGTTTTTTTAGTTTGCATCGTCAAAGCCGCATAAGGAGTCATTTGCTATATTTAAAGTTTATTTTAAATTTATTTTAAAGTTAGTTAGCTGGAATAAGACAATCACATAGCTTTTTGCTAGACTACCATGCACTATCTATAATTAAATCAAGTTCTCTTATTATTAAAAACTTGATTTAACTAAAAAATAAAATTAAAAAAAATATATCATAACCAACAAATTGTTTTAATCTTTGCAAATATTTGTTGTCTTAAAAGTAACTTTTCATTTGTTAAATCTTTTGCAAAATTCACAGACCTACTTGCTCTTTGCGAGACTAATTCGATTTCGGCTGTTTTATGTCTGAACCTTTGAGTCAATGGCTATTATCCTTTGATTCGCAAAGACTTCAATAATCACAGGCTTGGTCTGAGCATATATATATATACTTAAATATTTTATTTTACATAACATATAATGACATATTCGCGTATTTATCATGAAATTAGTTTTGAATGCTCTGAATATTTTTTTATGTGCTTTCCAATAGCTGCATGCCCAATAATTTTTTTATTCTTTATTGTTCTTCTTCTTTCCAAGACTGCATTCTTTATAATGTTGTTTCTGAACAAATTGACCAAGTTCTTTCTCTCAGCCAGATATTTTGTTATTGGTGACTTTGTTCTTTGTACTGAATGGCTCTTTCCACTGACCTGGTTCTGAAGCTCAAAATTTTGATCTTTCGCTAACTTATACTTAGATAGTTAGCTTTGTGACTCAATTTCCAGACAACTCTAATCATTTATCTTCATTCCTTGCTTTGTGTCTCATCTCTGACCATATCTTGTGCTTTCTTCTTGTTTTCTTTTAGGTGGTTCAGATCATGCTATGATCTCACTAAAAATTCTGTATCATTCTTTTTCTTCAGACTCATTGCACTTCTTACCTTAAGGCCAATTCAAGTTCCTTTTTGATGGTTCTTGGGCTGATGTTTTTTATCTTTTTTCTGATTATTGCCTCCTTTGAAATCTCTTTTTCAATCTCTGGAAACAGGCAGGTAAGCAAGCATTTATTTCTTGTCAGTTTTATGTTAAGCTTTGCTCTACCCCATGGATTTGACTTTATATCAAACTTTACTCTACCCCATGTTTTACCCCATTAAATCCATATTGATTGTTAGAGAGTAAGTTGTGAGACTATTCTCAAGAAAAGAAAAAGAGATAGAACTTGGTCAATTTCAACAGAAATAACATCAAAGAGTGCAGTGTTGATAAGAAGGAGAACAATAAAGAATAAAGAAATAGATGATTGAGCAAATAGGCACTAAATGAAAGCACATAACAATCATATGATTTTACAACAAATAAGTGAATTGATACTTAATTATATGCCCAGGCTAAATATGAGACAGTGTCTTCAAAAATTAAAGTATAATAACTATCAACACAAAGGATCAAAGATGGCAGCCAAACATAAGTTAATCTTTAAAGTTTAAAAAGCAAGTCGTTTTGGTAAATTTTTAGACAGTGAGGTACTTTTGTAGCACTTTTTTGAATATGTTCAATGCATTTTACTGCTAATTTTAAATTATTACACTATAGAGTCGCAAGTTCTAAATGCGGTCTGATATAAACTGTGTATAATTTCTTCCATAGTTTTTCGTCTCTGCTGATGAATGAATTTTTCATCCATCCTAAGATGTTGTTATCTTTTGATGCAATTTCGGAACCGTGTGTATCCCATTTGCCATTCGACATAATTGTAATGCCAAGATCATGCTCCTTTTCAGATTTCAAAATGTTTATGGTAGTTGAAGTTGCAGTATTAAACATGTAGTAATTATTTTGGGTGTTGTTTTTACCCATATGTCTCACTTTGCATTTTTTCTAATTCATAATTGGAGCAATAATTTTGCAGTCATCCACATACAACTTACAAGGGAAGTAATTAATAACTGGCGGTAAATCATTTATATAAAGGATAAACAAAAGTGGACCCAAGATGCTGCTCTGTGGTACACCACTAGTTGCATCTGCCCAGCTGGACTTGCACTCACCAAGAACAACTCTCTGCTTTCGATTACTAAGAAAGTCACTAATCTGCTTTCCCAAATCCCAAATGCTTTTAGTTTGTGCATAAGACATTGTCAAATGCCTTGGCAAACATTGAATTTTAAAGGCATACTCTAATTAAGACATAATAGAAAAATTTGCATAGCCACCATTAAGGAGGCACAAGTAAAAGTCTATATTCAAAAATCAAGTGTTCATCATCAGCATATTATATACATCAAAGAGAAATCTCGTATGTATTATATACATCAAAGTTGCATAAATGCAACTTACTCTTCGGTGTAAGGTTTTTTTTGTTTGTTTTTTTCATGTAGATTTTCTATACAACATCAATTATATTATGACTTGTTTTCCATACAACCAAAATCACTTTCCATACAACCCAAATTACTTTCCATACAACTAGAGTTGCAAAAAAAAAAACCTTTTTTTTTAATCTGTTTTTTTTTGCAAAAAAATAAAGTGTTTTTTTTTTGTTTTTTATGGTTTTTTTTTGCTTCTTTTAAAATGAAGACTTAAAAAAAAATAGTTATATGTTATATATAATTTAACATAATCTTAACAGTCAATACAAATTTAATAAATAGTTATTTTTTATACATCAGGTTCTTTATTCTAAATTTCCTGTTTAGTAAAGTTATCAATTGAGAAGTCAAATAATATGTTCACTTAACATGTTTCCCTCTAAACTCTGTACAGTAAGATTCTTGGCTTTGAGTCTGAGCTGTTGATGATTCTGTTTTTGATTTTTGAGTTCTAAATTGTGAGAAATAAAAACTAGTTTTAATGTTCGGTCGTTAGTTAATCTATTCCGTTTTTGATTGTGGATCCAAGATTGTCGACTAAATGTTCTTTTGACTGCCGCACTTGCTGGTGGAATTAATAGAATTTTATTTGCAATACTTGACAGTATTGGAGCGCATGAACAACATATTCCCTTTCACCAACTTGCAGGAGTTGTGTGTTTTACTGAAGCCCATATAAAAAGTTTTGAAAAAAGTCCCTCTTTAGATCTATAGTCAGCAATCTCACCCAAAATTTTGTCATCACAGTCCTTAATCAAAGGATCCAGTTTTCCTAAGTTATGTAGGGTTTCAATAGCATCAATCTAAAACAGATGTTTTTAATCAATTAATAATTCATTATAAATGTAAAAAAGTTAATTAATAGAACTTTCAAAAAGTTTTTTGCTTTTTTCAGTATAAAAAAACACTCAAATAAAGATTAAATAATTATAAACACACTGTTTCATCTTCAGAGATATGACATCCGTTATATCGTGGATCCACTAAATTTGCAGCTAAGTGAATGTTTCGAATGTGAAATTTTCTTCTTCTGGCAATTATTTCCATCATAGCATTTTCTTCGTTTTTTAGTATTTGGTTGCATATTGTCCTGAAAAGATTTCTGTAAATCGGAAAAAGTTTTGGCCACGATGGAGAGACTTATTTTATCTCCTTTGGCAGCTGTAATCGCAATGGCTATTGGTTTTAATAACTTAATAAACCCATCCACTTTATCCCAAAATACTTCTGACAAAAATAGATTTTGAACAGACTTAGCAAGTGATTTAGCTTCATCATCTATAGCTAATCGCCGCAGTGCTAACCTGTTGTTGTGAAGACTTTCCATACAGTGGATAATTGAACCCCATCTAAAGAAACAAAATATTGAAATTAAATACTTAGCTGTCTAATTTTAAGACTTACATACTAAACTTACAAACTAAATTTCATCATTCAAATTGATAAATAGCAGTGACAGATCCAAGGGGGATGATGAATGCATCCCCCCTCCCCCACCAGAATCTGAAAGTCTTAAAATTTCTTAGAAATTGAGGATTTTTTTATTTTTTAGAAGATGCACACGTGGTACAAAATACAAAAATATTTTAACATTCTACCCCACCCCCACCCATCTACCACCAAAAATTCATGGATCTGTCACTAATAAGTTGAGTAATAGCAATTAGATATACTTGAGT